TCAGTGTAGACATCAGGCTGGACTCAGCTTCCCACTCCTTGCTTTTGTCTGCAAGGCCAACATTTGCTGAGGGTTGCAGCGGGGCTTCTTTGAGGTTCTCCATCTCCAAGCTTTGTCAGGGCACCTCTCTTGTGTTGTTCTGCCACTGGGGCACATGCTGCCCTGGTGAAGCTCCAGGAGGAAACAGACACCGTGATGCTCACCATTAAAGTGAGGCAAAGTGGTTTCCAGACCATAAAGCCAAGTGGGACAGAGCTCAGGTGGTTTTTGTTTTCCAAAGTCAGTTTTTGCTGGCTAGGGTCCCTGTCTGGTTGATTTTGGTCTCAGCTAGGACTCTTTAAAGTCCTTTAGTTCCTGAGTGAGGGATTGTGGCTGTGTATAGATAAGTACTACAGTCTTAAAAACAGGCATTAGCTTTCCAGCCTCCAAACTGCAGGCCTCTGCCACTTGAAGAGAAGGGAGCACTTGGTTAGAGGTGAGAAAGCACCTGCGAGCGGGATGGGCTGCAGACACACGGGCGTGCATGAACTCAGCTTGTTAAACAAGCCAGAGCGAGGCTACAGACACATCTTCTTTGGGATCCAGCTGTGCTCCCACTCTACAGCTTTCCCAGTGCTTGTCACTGCCTCCAGATCTGCTAGCAGATGAGTTTGTGCATGTGCTTCCTAATTCGCTTCAGGCAAAATCAGCCAGGCTTGCTAGGCTCCTTCTTTCCTTGCATCAGCTGCATCAGCTGGCTTTGTGTGAAGGAAACCAGGCAATGCTTTTATCCATGGCTCCATCAGCATGCTGGAAGGGTGCGAGCTTCTAGGAAGGGTGTGGGGGTGAGCAGATGGGGACCAGGAGCTCTTCTAGGTGCAGAGCTTGGTCTAAGCGAGGATGTCTGTCCATGGTCTGAATATTCCCCAAATCTCATCTCTCCATCCAGGATGCTAAGCAGTGCATGCCAGGGCCAAGGGACAGATGTGCATGTCCAGCCAGGACTGCACGGAAGCATGTCTCAATTCTGAGAGGGAATTTGTATCCCTCTCAGAGAAAATACCAGCCAGTGAGGGACAGCTAAGGGACATTTTCTCTGGTCATGCCTACCTGAAGACCAGCTCTGCCCCAGCAGGGTGCGAGGTGACCCTTAAACACATTAGCATAAGAGAGTGCCCAAGCTCCTGAGTCCTGCCTGCAAACCAGAGCAGCCTTGAGCTCTGCCCGTGGATGAAAATGGATTGCAATTGCTTTCAGCTGCCCCCTGAAAATGCTCTTTCCCCTAAGAAATGGAGCTGGATTTGAAAGGAAGAACGTGGCTTGGTCCGGGCTGCTCTGTTGACTTCAGGCACAGATTAGGGCTGTTGTGGGGATGGTGCCTGAGCTGGTTTTGCTTGCCATTCTGGCCAAGGTGTGGGGATGGACAGACCTGCTAGTGGGCTGTAGGAGTTCTCTCTTCCGGTTGCTCATTCTCCTGCCTGAAATTCCCACCTTGTGCAAATGGCCCCGGGGCTGTCTAGGCACAGGGGTGCCGGAGGTTGGCATAAGCCAACTGGGGGCCCCGGCTAGGTCTGACTCAGGGGAAGATCCCAGCCAACACACTGTCTCTTCAGTCATTGTTATCAGGGTAATTCTCAAGCAGTTCAAATCCTGTTTTTGTGCTGATGTTGCCTAGCTCTACAGGAGTGAGGGGGAGAGAGAAACACAGGAAATTGCAGCAACGGAAGCAGAATCATCTCCTGGAGAGAATGAAGAGCCGCTGACACCACCAGGGGAAACAAAGAAGGAGATTCAGAAGGACTTGTGCATGGGCTTATGCCGTAGACAGCTCCAACAAGGCATCTTAGTCGTAGCCTACGGCACACCTCTCTCCCGTCCTGCACGCTGTACCTCCTTCCAGACCTCCCTCCACCATGGGCCCAATGGGCAGAGCTCGTGGGAACTCCCAGCAGGGCAAAATGCTGCCTTCATGGATGGCACAATTTGGCTTTGATTAAAGAAATCAAGATTTGTCTAGAGGTCAAGGCAGCTGCAAAATCACTGCTCGACCTATCATGCCCCCAGCAGTGAAAGAAGACCTCAGAGGAGCCCGGGGTAGGGAGATGAGGAAGTGACGGGCTAACATGAATGCTTTTGGTCCGGTCTTGGTGACAGAGATGCCCTGGGGATGGAGGCCCTGGGAGATTTCCTTTAACCTGGTCCCAACTGCAGCGAGAGCTTCAGCTCTTGCAGCAGACTGAGGGTGGCTGTGGGAACACAGCAGCGTGCCACGGTGGCGTGGGCGCGGGTCTTGCTGCCATCTCACTGCTCTCCCCCCTTCCCCCTGAAATGCCAGGGTGGCTGCCGTTGTGTCTCATGCACACAACAGACCCTCTGTCCTGCAGGCACAAAAGGAAACTTTGAGCGAAAAGGCCAGAGGGCCCGGCTGCCGTTATCACCCGGGGCTGGAAGGAGAGCACGAGCCAGTGCCCTGCAGAGTCACAAGCCATCCCCCGTCCACAGCCACCAGCAGGGAATGGAGCCATTGACAAGACCCCTTCCTGGTCCCAGCGCTGCTGCTTCCGTGTATCCACCCCTCAGGCCCTTCCTTTCCTGAAGGTGTTGATCAGCAGCGCCACATCCCGTATGCCACGGACCCTTCCTCCCCTTCTGCCTCCCAAATCCTCAGGGAAGACCGGCCTTGACAGGATGTCTGTCCACACCGCTCTGGAGCAGGAGACCTGCTCTCCCTGCACAGGATGAACCCAGTGTGCCCCTGGGTGAGGGGTGGTCTCCCACCCTCAGGCG